AATTTTGGAGCCAACAGACAAAATTTGAGTTAATTTTCAGTTTTTACTCAAAAAATTTTGCTATTTTTGTCCAATCCTCATAAAAAAAGTGCAGACTGTAACTGGGATTATTTTGTAGATGTGTGATGGAAAAGAGGGAACTGGTGGTGAAAAGGCTTGCTAAGCTTGCTTTTAAAATCACCATATATCTGAATTGTGCAAGAAATCCACAAACATACATCTCATATTAGTAACACAGGCAAAAACTACAAGAATATTGGTTGAAATTATTAAAATGATGCTCACTTTAAAAATTGTATGTTTTTACGCAAAACCACCTGATAGCTGTATGAAAAGTAAGTTACGCTTCGACTGTACTGTACACATGCTATAAATCCACATATGAGAGTTGGACTAACGATTCCTGAAGACTATATCCTGGCACATTCTGGGAATATTGTTATCCTTTATACAACAGAACAGCAATAATTTCCAGTTATATATGGATTGTTCCCACGTTAAAATTACACTCTAAGATCATTCCTTTATTGGGGTTGCTACTACCGTACTGGATCGTGTTAGTGCCCAGTGTACTCAACTCAGAAAATCATGGTTTTTAGGGGTCGGCGGTTACCGGAGCACCCTCTTTGGAAAAGAGTGCAAATGACAATTTTAATTCACCATGTGACAGATTGAGGGGGATATTATGTCTTTGAGGGAAAATAAAATAAATTACGAAATTAGTTGTGTCGTCATTGAATTTTACAATAAAGAAACAGAAATAGTCACAAAAAATATGCACATGTATTTATATATAATACCTTGAATATTTTAACATCAAACTTTTCAAAAGAACACAGGTTCCCCTCTGTTCCAAATTACTGTGGTCTGCAGTAACTCAAAACAAGGGTTAATCTGGCAAATCGTCAAATATTTTGCACATTTATGCAAATTTATAAAGGTCCAGAAATGATCCCAGAGTGCAGCCTTAAAGTGCTTTTGAACTTCAATGGCAAATGCCCGCAATTAAAAAACCAGGATATGAGACCTTTAGGGGTCATGACATTTAGGGGTCATGTTGGAGACATATACCTGGTACCTGTGTTTTGGTGCAGTGGCAAAAATTTGGAATAGTGGTACTAATGATAGCAAAAACTTATCATATTTACATTTTTTTTGCAACATAAAAAAACAGTATTAATAAAGTTATGAAACACCCATGAAGCTGACAGCTACACAAAGCAAACATTTTTTCTAAGTTCATCTGTAAATATTAAGTGTGTTATTATTTACTAATGAGCTTAAAATCAAAATAAATATTAAGTACTTGTACAATTAAAGCTGACAACAAAACAACTAAAAAAAAACTAAAAATAGATTCAATTTTATGTAATAATCTATATCGTGTAAATATTAATAATTGAATTCTCTCAAAGTAATACTTTTGTTTAAATACAAGAGCATGGCAAACTAAAGTATCTGAAGTTTCAAAATCCTGTACATTTATTTAAAGATACTCTGTTTTGCAATGCAATAATTCAAATAGTGATTGAGGTAGATTTATGTAAACTTGCCAGACTGTGAGAATTTTTTTTTCCCCTCAATTTTCTGAACCTATGCTTAGAAATAAAATAATTGTCAAAAGGAATTTTTTTTAAGTACAGTAAGGCTACAGCGATTTAATTTTATGGATGACATCTGCGCGCGCATTAGTTTTCGCCTGTTCTCAAAAAAAAAAAAAAAATCTCCGACGACGAGTCTCTAAAGATCGGTTTTCTGTCCGGAACTTGCCGACTCATATTGTCGCAAAGCGCCGACTCGTCGTAAAACTCGTTTTGGACTACCTCAAAACCAAACTCCACACAGTTAGATGCGCGTTACGTAAAGCGCAAAGACCTATGGGAAAGAGATTGCCTCAAAACATGCAAATTTTGCCATAAATGATCCAACATGGCGACCACACCACCAAAATACGTGAGCATAAAAGTTCAGAGGTGACACGGAGGGATTGTTGTAGACTGGTACGCAATTGACGTTGGCCAGGGAGACGTTTACACAGCTATATGAGAGGTCGGTAGCGGCAAGCGAGTTTCGCCCAGACAACTTTGAGAACATATTGTCCAGAGTGGCTGTCCCGCGTTTCTTCTGCAATGATGAGAGAAATGGGAGAGGAGTGGAGGTGTATGGTGGCCTAAAAGTGGGT